AAAATGTTATAAAATCTCATGTTACTTCAAACATGTTAAAATCTCTTGTTATAAGCTTATCTAAAGCAAGATAACTATGATACATCTTAAATATATAATACCGACACAGTTATCTCTCCTTAGCGTCCTCTCCGTGGACTAACGTGCTCAGCGATGACGTCCCCAGCGATGATTAGCTGTTGACCCCTTATCGAGTTTATGGTTAGATTGGGGTCTCACTAATTAACGACAAGAAGCGTCAAGAAGCGACAAGAAGCGACAAGAAACGTCAAGAAGCGACAAGAAGAATAAATTTAGCGACAAGAAGACTATTTAGCGACAAGAAAACTTAAAAAAAATATTATTAGAACAAATATATTAAAAAAAATATGCATTGACAGCAATAAAGAGATTTCATTTTTTTTTTTTATTATATTGATAGATGAAGAAATTAATGAGTCAAGATAACATTTGGAGGTTTGCCTGTGATCTGAACAATTTCTTTCAAAGAATTAATATTGATGACAGCTTGCATATATCATCAGCAATATTTTGTTTGTTTAATAGGATAGGTACCTATGTATTCTGCTATTGCTTTATTCATGGTTTCAAGAGAATGAATGGCCAGGCATTTTTTTCGAACCAGCTGATTATTTTCTTGTAAGAATTACTTCTTTTCATAGAAGCATAATGACGCTTAAGGATGAACAAATTGGTTGGAGTAACGGACGTGTGTCCCTTATTGTATTGCTACAATAACATTCAATTAACACCTATAACTTTGTACACGCGTCAGACTATGACAACTACACGCGCCGGAATATACAATAATTGTAAATAGTGAGCAACTGTTGAACACTCAACATTGTCGTTAATTACCTTTAATCTTCAATCAACTTTAAACTATGCATAAACATCATACATATCGTTTGATAAGTCAATACCCAAATAAAATATTCACGTTTTAGTAACATTATCTTTTCTGGACACTGATTCACGTATAATGCATTTTGCATGCAGTCAGTTTATTATATTTTAGACAAAGAGAGTGTTAAAAAATTTATAAAATGAATATATTATTGTTCTAAAACACAAGAACATGTAAAAATTAATAACATACTATGACAGGAAAATTTCTATATTTATCAATATCTATCAATATATTTAAAAAAAAAATGAAAATCACTTTACTTTCCGTATATTAAAATAAAAATGTCAATGCATATTTTTTTAATATATTTATTAAGTCTCCCAAACGAAGTTTGGGAAGACTTATCGTTTTTGCTCAGTTCTTATTATTATTCTTCTTCCTCTTCCTCTTCCTCTTCCTCTTCCGCCGCTTTTAAATTTGAACTTGTCCGCACCCGTTCTCCAAAACCGCTTGTCAGATTAACTTAGGGTTTCACAATATGTTAGACTAACATGTCTAGTGGTGCAATCAGGGTTTTGTTTGTGCAATAGGGTTTATAAAGGGGTACTTTGAGGGGCAAAAAGAAAAGAGGGTTTTACTATAGAACCCTATGGGATTTTATTTTTTTTAATTTTCAAATGATTATAAATTGAAAACCGTTTGTGATAGACACAATCTTTTTAATTGAAAATGTTCTAAATGATAAAACCTATTAAATGAAATACAGGGTTAGTCCCCAGGGGTCATCCCCACCCCCTGCCATTTAAGAAAGTTCTAATACCTTGTAAGTGGTCAAGATTCCCACCCCTAAACCATATATATTCTGGTTTGTCATGCTAAGACGGTTTGAATGATATACAGGGTTAGTCCCCAGGGGTCATCCCGACCCCCTGCCATTTGAGAAAGTTCTAATATCTTGAAAATGGCCAAGATCCCCACCCCTAAACCATATATATTCTGGTTTGTCATGCTAAGATGGTTTGAATGATATACAGGGTTAGTCCCCAGGGGTCATCCCGACCCCCTGCCATTTGAGAAAGTTCTAATATCTTGTAAATGGTCGAGATCCCCACCCCTAAACCATATATATTCTGGTTTGTCATGATAAAGCACATGAAATGAAATACAGGGTTAGTCCCCAGGGGTCACCCCCACCCCATACCATTTAAGAAAGTTCTAATATCTTTGTAAGTGGTCAAGATCCCCACCCCTAAACCATATATATTCTGGTTTGTCATGCTAAGATAGTTTGAATGATATACAGGGTTAGTCCCCAGGGGTCATCCCGACCCCCTGCCATTTGAGAAAGTTCTAATATCTTGTAAATGGTCGAGATCTCCATCCCTAAACCATATATATTCTGGTTTGTCATGCTAAGATGGTTTGAATGATATACAGGGTTAGTCCCCAGGGGTCATCCCGACCCCCTGCCATTTGAGAAAGTTCTAATATCTTGTAAATGGTCAAGATCCCCACCCCTAAACCATATATATTCTGGTTTGTCATGCTAAGAAGGTTTTAATGATATACAGGGTTAGTCCCCAGGGGTCATCCCGACCCCCTGCCATTTGAGAAAGTTCTAATATCTTGTAAATGGTCGAGATCCCCACCCCTAAACCATATATATTCTGGTTTGTCATGATAAAGCACATCAAATGAAATACAGGGTTAGTCCTCAGGGGTCACCCCCACCCCCTGCCATTTAAGAAAGTTCTAATGTAAGTGGTTAAGATCCCCACCCCTAAACCATATATATTCTGGTTTGTCATGCGAAGATGGTTTGAATGATATACAGGGTAAGTCCCCAGGGGTCACCCCCAGCCCCTTCTATTTAAGAAAGTTCTAATATCTTGTAAATGGTTGAGTTCCCCACCCCTAAACCATATATATTCTGGTTTGTCATGATAAAGCACATCAAATGAAATACAGGGTTAGTCCCCAGGGGTCACCCCCACCCCCTGTCATTTAAGAAAGTTTTAATGTAAGTGGTTAAGATCCCCACCCCTAAACCATATATATTCTGGTTTGTCATGCTATGATGGTTTGAATGATATGCAGGGTTAGTCCCCAGGAGTATCCCGACCCCCTGCCATTTGAGAAAGTTCTAATATCTTGTAAATGGTCGAGATCCCCACCCCTAAACCATATATATTCTGGTTTGTCATGATAAAGCACATCAAATGAAATACAGGGTTAGTCCCCAGGGGTCACCCCCACCCCCTGCCATTTAAGAAAGTTCTAATATCTTGTAAGTGGTCGCGATCCCCACCCCTAAACCATATATATTCTGGTTTGTCATGCGAAAATGGTTTGAATGATATACAGGGTTAGTCCCCAGGGGTCACCCCAGCCCCTTCTATTTAAGAAAGTTCTAATATCTTGTAAGTGGTCAAGATCCCCACCCCTAAACCATATATATTCTGGTTTGTCATACCAAGATGGTTTGAATGATATACAGGGTTAGTCCCCAGGGTCATCCGAACCTCCTGCCATTTGAGAAAGTTCTAATATCTTGTAAATGGTCGAGATCCCCACCCCTAAACCATATATATTCCTGTTCATCATGTCTCGAACATTTGAATGACGTATACGGTCAGTCCCCACTGGGTTCCCCCCACCCCTAATGTTCTAATATCTTGTAAATGGTCGAGATCCCCACCCCTAGACCATATATATTCCAGTTCGTCGTTTCTCGAACATTTCAATGATGTATAGGGTCAGTCCCCAGGGGTTCCCCCCACCCGCAATATTCTAGTATCTTGTAAATGGTCAAGATCCCCACCCCCTAAACCATATATATTCTTGTTTGTCATGCCAAGATGATTTGAATGATATACAGGGTTAGTCCCCAGGCATCACTAATGCATTAACTTTACTGGACCAAACCAATTTTCACTGGACTTTGTCCAATGTCAGGCGACACTGGGAATTATGAATCATGGGAGCTTCGTTTGGGAGACTTCGTAACAGCATCCTGTTACAATCATTTCTTGTTTTAATAATATTTTTTATTAAGTTTTCTTGTCGCTAAATAGTTTTCTTGTCGCTAAATAGTCTTCTTGTCGCTAAATTTATTCTTCTTGTCGCTTCTTGTCGCTAATTAGTGAGACCGTTAGATTGTAATTCTTTCTTGCATCAAAACTGGGTAAATTTGATATAGGTAACAAACACTCCCCCTTTTTAAAAAATAACTCGAGAACCACACATCGGCCATCGCGCTCGCTGCACAAAGTAACAATAGTCAATAAGAAATAATTATTGTTACTTTCAAGAATCATTAATTGTCAAAACGTACACCCCCCGGACATCAAAGGAAGTTAAATGTATTGTTATCCCAAATTAGTTAAAATTATTATCATAATGACGTCTTGAAACCCTATTTTATGTGTTTTTTTTACTTTGAAGTATTCCTACTGCAGAAAAAAAAACATAACATAACCTTTTAAGAAGTCATAATTATTTGGACTACCCCTGAATCTATTGCAGACAGGCTCTGATCTAAAAAATGTTGTAAGAGCAATCTTTGAAATGATTTTTTAGGTACTTTAATTATTATGTAATTAATATTAACATAGTTATAAACTTTCAAATTTATTGACCAATATGACCAACTCCTATGCTCTTTCCCATAAATGTCACAATATCATTATATTACAGTAAAATCCGATAGTTTGATGACATTGTTTATGCCTATTGACCTCAGGTCAGCCTAAACTGTAATTTATTCATTAATAAAAACCTAAGACATTAACCACCTGCAATGTGATTGCATCAAAATGACACCTAAGGCATATCATACTAATTGTGCAGGATGTGCCACCAAAATAAATACTGTCTTGTAAAATTAGATGATGATAGTTATAGCTACATGTAGTAATTATAATAACTGATGATAGATTTAAATCTGTGTAAAAGGTTGATTTATATGTGCTCATTCATGTTTTAATTAAAATATAAATTGAATCTTTTCTTTTATAATATTAAGATATTAAAATCACAATTATTTATTTGTAAACTAAAAATATTTTTTGTCCTTTTAAGAACATGACTGTAAACAAACATTATTACACAAATAATTTTAATAATTCTGTCATGTTTTTTTTTTATGTAGCCCCAGAATGGTCAGAACAGTGGCAAAAGACTAATCCAGATTACCAAAAAATAGAAATTGTTCAGCTACCATTCATGCCATAAGCATGATAAGAAAAATTTTGCAGTTTCCAGAATTTGAGGTAGAGTATAGTCAGGAATAGTTTAAATATGCAGATGTTTAGTTTGCAATAAACAATTATGTCCTTGATAGAAAAGTAGAGGAAACAAAAGAGTATGAAAATAGTTGAAAAAAGTAATCAATAATACCTAGTCATAAATAATGTAAATAGAAAAGAGAAAGGCAATGGTTACGACTTGGTTTTATTAATAGCTTTATCATTTGTCCATAATTTGGAATGAATCTTGACATTTTCATGTCACAATTTGATCTAAATACATCCTCCTTTATAAAATAATATTATTTTCAGTCTACTGAAACAGGTATTATTTTTGTTATTAAAAAGAACAATGAAACAATCGTTGAACAATTTTACCTAGCCTGTAAAGCTGATAGCTTGTTGATTTATAAAATTGATTAACTCATGGGTTAACAGGTAGTAAAATTATATACTACAATCCTGGTACCTGATACAGCCTTCAAAATCTGAAGGTTAGTTTCAACCCAGTCCTGATAAATTTATCAATGAAAACTAATCAACAGACCAAATAAAAATTCACTGGGTAAAATGATAATATTTTAAGTAATAATACAATATTCATTCATACCATTTGTTGCGTAAAATAGTTTTGTTACTTATCATACATATATGATTTACTCCTAATACTCTAACAGTATTGTATGGTAACCACCGACGGTAAGTATGGACAAATACTGTATATAGAGTGTGTATAGGAGTACTGTATTGTATGGTAACCACCGACGGTAGGTATGGACAAATACTGTATAAAGATTGTGTATAGGAGTCTTGTATTGTATGGTAACCACCGACGGTAGGTATGGACAAATACTGTATAAAGACTGTGTATAGGAGTACTGTATTGTATGGTAACCAACGACGGTAGGTATGGATAAATACTGTATATAGACTGTGTATAGGAGAACTGTATTGTATGGTAACCATCGACAGTATGCATGGACAAATACTGTATATAGAATGTGTATAGTACTGTATTGTATGGTAACCACCGACGGTAGGTATGGACAAATACTATATATAGACTGTGTATAGAAGTATAGAAGGTATGGAGTACTGTATTGTATGGTAACCACCGACTGTAGGTATAGACAAATACTGTATAAAGACTGTGTATAGGAGTACTATATTGTATGGTAACCACCGACGGTAAGTATGGACAAATACTGTATATGGACTGTGTATAGTACTGTATTGTATGGTAACCACCGACGGTAAGTATGGACAAATACTGTATATAGACTGTGTAAAATGGTCCTATTTGTTCTTAAATGGCAAATAAAACTAACTGTTCTTGGCTTTTATGTTTGATATATTTTTGAATATTCTTCACGTGGAGATCTGATCTTGTCTATTGAATTTTGTCATTTTCCTTATTACATGTATGTTAATTTCAGCAACTGAATTGGACTTATTTATTAAAAGTGATAATATTTCTGTTGTAGGTAATCAAGATTTAGTGTTTCCATGCAAGTGTCAAAGATTGAACGACAAAACATCTAAAACTTTACAGGACAGAGTAGACTTTTTTCACTGTGCTTCATTTTGTCTTTATGTCTAAATAATGATACATTTTAAAAAACCAATAAAATATGGAATAAAAAAGATTGTTATCTTATAAAATGGAGTGAAGAAATAAGGGGTGATTGAAAACATAAGAATATATTGCTATCATATATGCAGATCAGCAGTACATGCATGTGCTATAGATGTACATAAATAAGGGGCCAATAAACTCAAGTTGCCTGTTAAAAAAGACTTTATTAATGTTATGCAAGATACCATCAAATATCACTAGGTGTTAATCAAATAATATTGTAAATAAGAGGGTTGTCCAAAATATTTCCAACAGTTGTTTGATAAACACTACCTTAATCAAATTACACTGTTAAAAAGCAGTTTAGGTCAGTCTTAAGAAACAAATATAATTTAGAAAAGTGCAAGCTGTTGATAAAAACTACAAATATCAGCCTTATTGCAAAGGGAACTGCCAGTCATAAGAGAGGGGCGAAAGATACCAGAGGGACAGTCAAACTCATAGATCAAAAATAAACTGACAACGCCATGGCTATCAAAGAAAAAGACAAACAGACAAATAATAGTACACAAGACACAACATAGAAAACTAAAGACTAAGCAACACGAAAATGTGGGTGGAGATTACCATTTAGCACAAATGAGTTTCGGGACAAAAGAAAGCACAAACCGATTATACCTTTTCAAAAACTATGTGTAGTCCCTTTTATAAAAGTGGCAGATGTTTTTTTTTGCCTATTTATACATGAGTATCTATGACAACTAACTGCTGCTCCTAGTAAAGTTAGTCTTTGGTTTTTGAAAGATTAGATCTGTTTTTACAATTCTTTTCTAAGGCACTGGCCTCATAAACAGGAAGTAGCCAGATTAGTAGCAGCACTAATACAATACTGTAAAAATAAGGAGATGTGATATGATTGCCAATGAGACACCTATCCACTCAAGTTCAAATGAAGTGGATGTAAGCAGTTATATGCAACCATACAGCCTTCAACAATGAGCAAAAACATACCATATAGAACCTTGTAAAGGCTAGTATGATTTACATCTGCAATAATCACTGAACAATCAGAGACAAGTTTGGGCCTAAATTAGTATGTCCTAACTCCCAATCAAATTGATCGAAGAGAGAGGCGAAAGATAACAAAGGCTCAATAATAATAATAAACTGACAAAACCACGGCAAAAAAGAAAAAGATTAAAAGTCAATCAACAGTATGCAAAACACAACAAAGAACACTAAAGACTGAGCAAAACGAACTTCACCAAAAACTGGTGTGACCAATTGACTAATTGATCTCAGCCTTACATTATTTAGCAGACCTTTTATTATACCAAACCAAACAAAGTTCCTAAGGGTACAATGTTTTTGACCCATCAGTCTGTCTGTCCTGTTCTCGTTATCTCAATTCCTCTGAAACCACATAACAGAATTTTATAAATCTTTGTAGATAATATCGACAGGAAATTATGAAATTATCGATTCATTGATTTTCTATTAGTTATGAGAAATTTGGCCTTAATATACTCCTACAACAGTTTGTCATCACAACTTTCTGAAAGTACACAACAGAGTTTCATGAAATTTTTTAGATAGTTAGGACATGCTACGTCGATGTGCATATCGACAGAAAATTATGATTAAATTTTTATGCCCTACCCACGATAGTAGATGGGCATTACGTTTTCTAGTCTATGCTTCCTCCGCTCGTTCGTTCGTCTGTCCCGCTTCAGGTTAAATTATTTGGTCAAGGTAATTTTTGATGAAGTTGAAGTCCAATCAACTTGAAACTTAGTACATATGTTTCCTATGATATGTTCTTTCTAATTTTAATGCCAAATTAGAGTTTTTACCCCAATGTCACGGTCAAATGAACATAAAAAATGATAGTGCGAGTGGGGAAACGTGTACTGTGGACACATTCTTGTTTTTGTCGGGCCTGCGACATTCGTCGCAGAAAGCTCGACATAATGATAGTGATCCGGCTGCGGCGGCGGCGGCGTTAGTTCACTTCTTAAAAGCTTTATATCTTAGAAGGTGGAAGACCTGAATGATACATACTTTGTATATAGATGCCTTAGGTTAGGAAGTTTCCGTCTGTCACATGTTCATTGTCCTTGACCTCATTTTCATGGTTCAGTGACTACTTGAAAAAAAGTTAAGATTTTTTGTAATGTTAATTTCTCTCTTTTTATGATTAACTGGGTAACTATATTTAGTATGTGCGTACCTTGCAAGGTCCTCATGCCCATCAAACAGTTTTCACTGGACCTCGATATCATTTCATGGATCAGTGAAAAAGGTTAAGTTTTGGTTGTCAAGTCTATATTTCAGATACTATAATCAGTAGGTCTAGTATTTTTGGTGTATGGAAGGATTGTCAGGTGTACATGTCCAACTGGCAGGTTTCATCTGAGCTTGACCTCATTTTCATGGTTCAGTGGTTATAGTTAAGTTTTTGTGTTTTGGTCTGTTTTTGTTATACTGTATGCAATATGTCTACATATTTCATGTATGGAATGATTGTAAGGTGTACATTTCCAACTGACAGTTATCATCTGACCTTGACCCCATTTCCTTGGTTCAGTGATCAAAGTTAAGTTTTTGAGTATTGCTCTTTTTTCTAATATTATATGCAATAGTTCAACTATATTTGGTGTATGGAAATATCTTATGATGTACATGTCAGTCTCGCAAGTTTTATTTGACCTTGACCTCATTTTCACGGTTCATTGCTCAGTGTTAAGTTTTAGTGTTTTGGTCTGTTTTGGTTACTTAAACTATAAGCAATAGGTCAACTATATTTGTTGTATGAAAGAATTGTAAGCTGTACATGTCTGCCTGGCATGGTTAATCTGACCATGACTTCATTTTGATGGTTCATTTGTCAATGTTTAGTTTTCTTGGTTTAGTCTGTTTCTTAGAAAATACAAGCAATAGGTCAACTATATTTAGTGTATTGAATGATTGTAAGGTGTATATGTATTTCTCGTTTTGGTCATATGACCTTGACCTCATTTTCTTGGACATGATCCAATAAAATGAGGTCAAGGTCAAGGTCATATGATCCGCCACTGTCATGTTAAGTTTATAGTTGTAGTAAAGCTTTATTTTTAGAACTATCAACATAAAATCAATAGTTAGTAAAGAAGGCGAGACTTTTCAGCGTGCATGTGCACTCTTGTTTGGAATTAGGAATTATGCCTTTGAACTTTGTGCATATCCACAAGAAATTTGTATCAATTGGCTTTTGAAGGAGTTATGCGTCTTTGAACTTAATAATCTGTTGAGATTTTGCTTGCTAAGTGACAATGTCGGGCTGTGGGGTATGTGAGCCTGCTCACAAAGGTTCTTTAATTAGACACAATCAATGCATTGTCTGTGCTTCCAAGATACAGTCTGTATGCATTGTCTTTTGTTGTAAGTTAAATTAAGTTTATGTATTGTTCGTGGTTCTTAGTCTATTACATTGTTTATATGCTTTGACTATGATTCTAAGATACAGTTTCTGTTGTCGGTATATCTTAGATTTATACACTGTCTATGGATCAGATATAAAGTATGTATGCATTGTAAGTTGTTCTAAATTGAAGATACAGTCTGTATGGTTTGCTTGTTACTGCAAGATAAAGTGTGTGCATTGCCTGTGGTTCTTAAATACAGTCTGTATGCATTTTTTGTATGCTTTGTCTATGGGTCTAATTTTTACATACAGTCTGTATACATACTGTATCTCTGGCTCATATACAGTGTCAAAATAACCTCTGGTTCTAAGATGCATTTTGTATGATTGCCTGAATGCTTAGTATATATTGGTTTCGATATATGGTCTGTATGTATTGTATGGATCTTATATATATATTATCTACACGTATATATTTTCTGTATACGTATTTTCCATGTTTAGATGATGCAATGAAAATAAGAAGATATGTGGTATGATTGCCAATGAGAAAACTATCCACCTAAGACAAACGACTAGATGTGACGAAAAACGAAAACTAACAGCCCGAGTAATGCTGAAACAATAAACGTAAAACCAATATCAAAGACAGCAACCAACAGCAACCACTGAATTAAAGACTACTTACTGAATTGGGAAAGGTACACACATAATGTGGCGGGTACAACGTTTCCATGATCACGAAAAGCATATCAACAGTCGATAATGTGTGTGTGGCTTAAAAAGGAAACAACAGATGAAAGTATAATGTAACCCATCCTCAGGGGTTAACATGCAATGCAAAACTTGTATAAACAGTCGATAAAGAGTATACTTGTATGTCCATACCTACCGTCAGTGGTTACCATATATTACAGAATTTATATCTACAGTACATATACAGTATATAGAGTATAACGTTATGCCCATACCAACCCTCAGTAGTTATCAAATATATTACAGTACTTGTATCTGCAGTCTATATAGAGTATACCGTTATGTCCATACCAACCCTCAGTGGTTACCATATATATTACAGTACTTGTATCTACAGTCTATATAGAGTATACCGTTATGTCCATACCTACCCTCGGTGGTTACAATATATCACAGTACTTGTATCTACAGTTTATATAGAGTATACCGTTATGTCCATACCAACCCTCAGTAGTTATCAAATATATTACAGCACTTGTATCTGCAGTCTATATAGAGTATACCGTTATGTCCATACCAACCCTCAGTGGTTACTATATATATTACAGTACTTGTATCTACAGTCTATATAGAGTATACCGTTATGTCCATACCTACCCTCGGTGGTTACAATATATCACAGTATTTGTATCTACAGTTTATATAGAGTATACCGTTATGTCCATACCAACCCTCAGTAGTTATCAAATATATTACAGTACTTGTATCTGCAGTCTATATAGAGTATACCGTTATGTCCATACCAATCCTCAGTGGTTACCATATATATTACAGTACTTGTATCTACAGTCTATATAGAGTATACCGTTATGTTCATACCTACCCTCGGTGGTTACAATATATCACAGTACTTGTATCTACAGTTTATATAGAGTATACCGTTATGTCCATACCAACCCTCAGTGGTTATCAAATATATGACAGTACTTGTATCTGCAGTCTATAT